AATAAATAAGGTTGCAAGCGTTTGATCACCAATCGCGGTGACATTTTCATTACGCAGTTGATTGGCGCTGCTTAGTTTTTACCGTTCGGTGTGTGCTCCTTTGGCAATTTCGATCTGACCTTAGAGATTACTAGTGGACAATCAGGTTGCAAGCGTTTGATCACCAATCGCGGTGACATTTTCATTACGCAGTTGATTGGCGCTGCTTAGTTTTTACCGTTATTTCGGTGTGTGGACTTTGAGAAGTGCTATTCTCGTACTTCTGCATTTTCGTTTACCGAGGATCTGATCACGATAGTTGTTTGAGGTAGATGAATGTTTCTTGGCCAGTTGAGCAGTTTTCGAACTGGTCAACGTCCAGATTAACCTGTTGGAAATCTTCAGAGGGAAATCAAAGGGAATCGATTATTAGACGAACAACCTTGAAGTCGTCAGGACAAAGGTCACCCGATGTAAAGCAGAGTTAAGTTCAAAGCTCATTTGGAATTCAATGAATCGGGAAAGAGGCGCCTCTGAAGTGAACGGCCAGGAGTTACTCCCGACCTACGGGGAGTGTTGAAAACACGAGAATAGCAGTGCGTAAAGCTCAGACATCGATACATCTCCAAACATGAACACAACAACGTTCGGCTGCACACCGATGATGCGAACTCGGCTGGCGACAAAGCGCTTCTCGGCTTTTCAGCACAGACTGGCTTCACTTTCAGGATGAAATATCTACAAATAGATTTCACCACAACGAAAGAAATTACTCATACATTTTTTCTCTTTCAAACAAGTATTTTTAGAGGGTTTGTGGAACTCGGGTCTTAGCCTAAGGTCATTCGCAATAATAACATGTTATCAGATTTGTTTACCTGTTTATATTCCAGAAGCATAAAGCCAGGGCCACCAACCTCTATAGCTATATTCATCTAGCAAACCAGTGGGGAGTTTTTGGAAACTTTGCTGTCCACACTAGGACGTCTGCTGTTTTAGCTTGTGTATTTCGGAAGACAGCAAAAATATTCCGACGGTAAACATGTCAATGCTATCCTGATTAGATTGCACATACAGCGTAGCAGTTTCAAGGTGCATGCGTGCAATATCTTGCCTGCTAATTTCAATAACATTGGTCTAGGTGATCGACACTCACTCGTCTGAATCCGCCATTGGATAAACAGAAAGGCAGAACAAACGATTAAAAACAAGCCACCCGTATTGCCATCTTGCCGGTGAACTCTACTCTTTTGTCTTCTAGGGCATCTTGGAAGGTGCCACCTAAATGGACAAAAAATCACGATGGCCAACTGCACCAAAACAATTGAGGGCATCTGATCAGCAGGGCGGTAAACATAATAAATCTTTGTGCCGAGACACGCGGTCTTCACCTCATGTTTTTCATCCGGCCGAATACCAAGTCTGAGGAACTAAGCAATCATGTTACTGACCATTGATCAGTGTTTGTTCAATTTTTGTTAGCAAACTCTAAAGCAATAATGCCTAGTTCTTTGATATTTACCCCATACACAGTCAGTTCTATAGATGAGATCGAAACTATATTGACATTTCATATAGACAGGATTAAAGATAGAATCCTCTGCCACAACAAGTAGGTCCGACAACTAGGTTTGCACGGCAGAATCCATTGAATCTCTCGTTTGTGATATTCCTCAAGTAAAGTTGTTGCACAAAGACTGCCTCATGATTCAGCTGGCACAATATTCGTATACATAAAAGAAACTATTCACAAGGTCTAAGAGCTTTCATCAACCTTGTGAGTAGTTTCCTATTTTAAAAAAGTTGAGCCTCTCCAAGCCACCATTCAGGCTGAGACAAACAGAGGCTGCTTTGTAGTACTTCATATGAATAACAAGAAGTTTTATGGGCAGAGAACAGGAATACAAAGGAGAATGGTCTGACGTGCAGCCTTGGGACAGTAATGCACATTGTTCTCCCAGGATAATCTTAGATAGAGGTGATATTAATAGATGTTGATAACTGCTTCATATTGGTCTTTTCTCAGAGTGATCTTAAGGGATACTTGCTTCTGTCAAGTCGTTCTGTAAACAATATGCCCAAAATAAGTAGAGTTTTTTTAAACTGTGCTCCCAGCTTAGGTGAAAAAATGCCCCGTCTAGAAACGGTGTTTGTTTAAAGTTATTAAACAGGAACAGCTGCTTTACGTTTCTCAACATTGATCGCCTTCATCCCCTCCCAACATAAAAACACTCAGCGCAGTCCTGCGTACCATATGTCCAATTAGGTTATACAAGACTAAAGTGATGGCTTCAACTCGCACAACAGAGGAAGCGACCTGATGAGCATTTTATATACTGACAAATTAAATTGCACGGCGTGATCGACAGTGGTATATCACACCAAAATACGTCGTCTGGCATTTAGATGCGCTTTGATGGACAGCATTTTTCAAGTTCTAAAAAAGCGTCTGGCCGACTCAGACCTTTCGTGTTCACTGCCCACCTGTTCTTCCCATTTGGCCGGCTGTTCCGCACTGCAGCAATAGAGCACATTTATCCGTTAATTTTAGGTGGTGCTTTAGATAAGTATTCAGAAAGCATGCAAATTTCTTTTGATGTTTTCGGCCGTCCTGTTATGTGAGGAGCTTTTCTTTTCTCGGCGAAACCTTCTACGCACTGTTTCCAATTTCCAGAAACCGATTCTAAATCACACCTATGGTATACATGCAAAAATGTCCCGCACCCAAGGCAAAACGCTGCTATCATATGTGGCACAGTGCGGTAAGGCACATGGTTGTGTAGTGGTGGGTTTCCGGCAGATGTTCCAACACTCTCCGGCTGCTGCACGTTACAGAGTACCTGATAACACTATCGAGTTTTCGTCAAAGTTCGCCGAATCTTCGATCCACTTAATGTAACTTAACACTTCGAATAATCTTCGATGCATAACAAATACCCCAAGTTATGCAGGTTTTGCTAGCGGCGAGATTGACCATATTCGGAATTTGGCTTCTCTTTAATTTCTAGCTACTTAAGCAAGTAAAGTAGTATCCGAAATTTCCCGTTGCTCATTGCACACGACATGGTGGGAAGAGCACAGGCACTATCGGTAACATAATTGAAAGACAACTGTGCAGACGAATTGTTAGTATGGAAATGCATCACTATTGGTGTAATGTTGGATACTGCTGATTAGGTATGCGAGTAGTATGTGGGTTTCTCGTAGCTCTGCTTTGCGTATATTGAGAAGTGAGAATATTCGGAATATTTGGAGCTGCTTTGTATCTTTCGCCTACATTTGAGTGATAGTCAATGAATATCCGGGAAAGTTCAGGAAGACACGTTGAAGAATGCGACAGATATTCAGTTTTTATAGACAATATGCATATGACACTTTTGTTTCCCTGTCCAATAGTCTGTAACTGTTCAGTTTCCAATAAATGACTCCACAGCGAAGGCCTTCATTCTTTCATTTAGTGCCGTGACCAGGTCACAAATTTTTGAGGAGGTGGATGTTCGGACCTTTCTGGAGGACTTTGAGGAGGCTGCGCGGGCTGCTGGACTGGATACCGCTCGGGGAAAGTTGGCGGCGCTGGAGACCTATCCTCAGGAGCCGGAAAAAGACGGCCCTGGATGCGGTCAGAAAGGACCGTCGGAAGATGGACTATGCCGCTGCGAAAGAAGCTTTTTCAGCAGAGTTTGACACACCGACCGACGGCCTGGAGGCTATATGGCGGTTCAAGACGGCCAGGATGGTATCTGGATGTGACCCGACCGCGTTCGCCAACTTGCGGCAGTTGTTAGATCGGGCTTTACCAGCAGTAGGCAGAGTGTCGCGCCACCAGTTGCTGTCGGACCAGTTCATAGAAGGAGATCAACCGGCGCTTGGTGCCTAGTTGCGGTTGGCGAGAGCAACTGGCCGGTTAAATGTGGAGCACGTGGTGCGTCTGTTAGGGAAATTGGCCGAGGCACCACCGGCCACGTTACAGTCGCGGAAGAAAAAGGAGGATTCAACTGTGGAGAACCTGTGGACAAAAGCGGACTAACTCGTGGAACAGCTTGCAGCCACAAAAACGGAATTGCGGAGGCATGCTCGAACGAGCCGGTGCTACAAGTCTGGTATGCCAGACCACTGGAAGGATCAATGTTCTCGTATTCGAGTGCCTGCACCTCCTTTCCTGATTGGGGTGCGATTGGCGCACTGACGCAGGCTACCGTTTAGGGCATCAAAAAGATAGGCGGGAAGTGAAAGCAATGCTTCATTGATACAAGAGCAGGGGTATGGCTGAGGCAGAGAGGGAACCAAGCCAAATGCAGAACGTGTGCGCCAGCCGAGAGAACACTGGGTGGATATCGGCTGAAAATTGACGGACTGTCAACGCATTCGATACGCCTAGGTGACAAGTCAATGCAGCACGCGTTCGCGATCAGCCCAGACGTAGAACAGGAAATATAAGGGGTAGATTTTCTCCAAGAGCGCAGATTCCATAGTTGACCTTAAGCAGAGAAAACTGGTGACAAGGTATGGAGCAATCAAGCTTGAAGGCCGCCCAGGCGCTGCCGTGAGTGAGCTGCATGTACGAAAACTTCCATCTTGTAACGTGCGGTCATTACAGTACGCGGTCGAGGAATATTTTAAACCGCTCACAGTCGATGTAGATATGTTTGGCTTCTGTCCGTGGATTGAGTATGAAAACTCCTCTCGTCAGAATGCCTTTGACATTACGGCCCCCGTCCGTTGCCGATCCGTCTACGGGAGGAGGTCCACAAACAGATTGAAGAGATGTTGAAGAATGGCATAATCAAAAAAGCCAACAGTGCCAGTTATGCTTGTAAGAAAGGCAAACGAAAAATCCATGCTTTGCGTAGATCTCCGGCGCCTGAATGAACTGACCGTAAACCGGGTTGTAGCTGCGCCCTAGTTTGCGTAGATTTTAGATTCCCTCCAGCATTCCCGATATTTCACGGTGTTCGACATGCATGCCGGATACCGGCAACTAAACATTAAGGCGGAGGACCGGGAGAATAAGGCACTCACGGTTGAGGACACCCACTACCACTTTAGATGAATGCCGTTTGGTTTATCTGAGGCACCATTTACATTCCGGCGCTTGATGCTTCGTTTCACGAAGGGACTCCAGAATGTTGCCGTGTACGTGTTGCCGTTGTGTACAGCGATTCGGAACCAGAGCACGCAGTTGACTTGAAGTCTGTATTTAAGTAGATCCTGGAGGCTGGCCTGCGGATAAATGAAGTAAAGACACAGCTCGCTCAGAGTTCGGTGACACTGCTGGGGCATAAATTGGGTCACGGAAAAATTAGCCCACTGCCAAAAAAATTGGTAAAGATCGAGGAATGTGCTGTTTCCAATTCAAAGTGGTCTCTCTGGCAGCTGCTTGAACGAACAGCATACTACAGCCGGTTTGTTAAGGATTTCCACGCAGTCGCTGAGAAACTGTACGACTTGATCAGGCAAAATCGGGAATTCTAATGGACTGAGGAATTTTAATGAGACTTTCGAGCGTGTCATGCGCGGATGTTGGATTAGCAATTGACCATCAGATAGTCGAGGGTCGGAGGGATGTTTACTGTTGCAATGGATGCTAGTGATCGCGGTGTCGGATCAGTCCTAGAGCGGAGGAATGGAGTTATCGAATATGCCAGTCGTGTCCCGACTAACGCTGAACAGAAATACTCGGCCACTGAGAACGAATGTTTAGTGATCATCTGGGACCTGAACAAATGGAAACCATATCTGCTTGGACAAAGATTCCATGTTGAAACCGATCACAAACCATTGGAATGGATCAGGAACATCGGAAACCCTCGTGGGAAGCTCGCTCGCCGGGTACGACATCACGATCCAGCTCCTACTTGGCTGATTGGCTATCAAGATCAGAGGCTAAAAAGGAGGCCCCTAGGATCACGATTGAGCCAATAGCGTCGTCATCGATCTGGGTCCCGGAAGGTTGATGCAACTACAACGCACGATCTTGTGTTACGGATGGTTTCAGCCGCCTTGTTGGATGGAGGGAGTATTGAGAATGGAGAGGGAGACGACGAAGTGAAAACGTTACAGAGTCAATTGGATTTACTGAGCATGGATGAGGCTAGCATGATTTCCTGAAACACCACCGATTCTGATGTTGTGCTGCCCTTGATATCTCGCGTCTTGAGGCGGAAGCCTATCTTCGAATGCCAGCAGAGAGCACACATGTGGTTCATAAAGACGTACGACTTACTTCGGCAGAGGGCCCACTGGCCCGGGATAAGTGAGGTGATGGAGTATATGGTGTCCTGTTGGTGGTGCCAACTGATGAAAGCGGGTACGTCAGGGGCAACCCATTTCATGGTAACGATAGATCACCTGTCGCAGCGGGTCGAGGCGGCAAGATTGCCTAATCAACGGACAACGATGATCAGCGGAGTGGAAATGCACCACAATGTGCCTAGCTATGGGGTGTCAAATATTATCCTAACCGTTCAGCGGTCCTGCTCTGAGAGCAAATTGCTTGCAGAAGCTGGGCATCGGACAACTAATGGCGACACCATGCTACCCTGAAACAAACGATCTAAACGAACGATCAAGGAGTGGCTGGCGGCCAAAATAGGTTACTTGAAAGTGAACCTGCTGATGATTTTGCTAGCTCACCGTGTTCATCGTAATTCCATACAGCCAACCACAGGCAAGTCCGCGTTCATGCTGATGTACGTTCGACATCCGCGCCTTCTAGCCAGGTTGCGGCCGGCAACAAGCTAGTCTTCGGATGAGCTGAGGGAGGAATGGAGGAAAGCTCGAGAAAACTTGACCACATTTCAAGAAAGGACTAAGTAAAAACAGCAAGTAGAATAGCACGACCATTCCTCATAGGCGCAAAGGTCAGGAGGAGGGATCATCAGAATCCTGGAAGGAGTGGACCGGGGTCGCGGAAGCTGGGCAATCGACGGCAAGTTTAGTTTGTCGTTACCGACTACCGGGGTAACGTCTATACAATTCGAGGCTGTTAGGGATCGAGGAGAGTAAACAGGAATCTGCTCCGAGAGTGGCATGACACACCCGAGGAGTGGTCGAATAGACCAGCAGCGAGAGCCGACCTATCGGAGGTAAATGAAAATCGGTGGCATCCAACGACTTTTAAAGGGGAAAGGCATGTACCGGTAGATACTACTGATAGGGAATGCGAGTTTGTGGTTCTCTCGTAACTTTGCTTCGCGTCTATTGAAGAGTGAAATTTATTACGAAATTTATAGGATTGCAGTGAGTCACTCGTTTACATTTGTGTGGTAGTCAACGAATATCCAGAATATCAGAAAGACGCCTCCGCAAAAAAGACGGATATTTATTTTTTATAAACAAGATGGATATGAGAGTTTTGCTTCCCTGTTCAATGGTCCGTAATTGTTCAGTTGGTGTTTTCTAATAAATAATTCCGTAGTAAAGGCCTTCTCCTTTCCATCGGTGATCAAGCACAGGGGACACTAATTATAGAGTATGTTTCTCCTGTTACCTTTAAACAAAACGGAAATATCAAAGTACTTTTCTCCCGTGGTCATTCTGCAGTCATGGTGATTCATTTGCCTGCAATGCTCTTTAATTTGATAATCCAGTTTCCAGAATCCACATTTCCGCGCGAAACCAACCTGATTGCGCTTGGTCGTGATCGAAAGCAATGAGATCACTAGCGATATTTCATTCGTTATTTCATTGTCACCTGTGGCCTTTACAAGGAGACCGAGTTTGTACGAAATTTCCCTTCATAACAGCCGTGGAACAAGGAAGGTTCCGCATCACTGCAAAAATATCCCACCAAAAGCTAGCTCCCCACTCACAATGAGAAGTCAGTGGTGATTATTACCAATAAGGATGAAAACGCTGTACACTGCCCCTCGGCTTTTCAGCATACATTGATTTCACTACAGCGACCGAACAAAAGTTCAAATTACTTTGGAAATGGTCAAGTATATTGCCCGCAGCCATATAAATCAACTAATCTCATTTATACCGACTGTATAAAGATTATTGATCAAGATTTGCGAGGTTATGAGGGTGAATATTGTGCATTTCTACGAATGTGCTTACTACTAAGCGCTTACTTGATCTTCCTTACTCTTCGGAATAGGCATGCATGTTAACATGTTACATTTTTCAGTGTTCTAAGTTTTTGTCTTCCCTGGTAGCACTTATGCGGGTAGCGTTCTTGCGTCTGTGGATGGCCAAAAAGTAATTGACGATTCAGTAAATCCCAGTTGAGCGCCTGATCGTCACCCACATTTACTCACAATTGCCTCCAAACTTCACACGTAAATGGAAATCAACTGTCAATTTCTTTTTATCCGTGTTTCAGGACCACACAATATCCCTTCGTTGAAGAACAGTCTATCAGTTAACCCACCATCAGTTAACCCGCTCATCAGTCCATCCATCTGTACTCTGCAAATACACAACGTTAACTGCGCCGCGAATTCGGTTACCAGGTTTGATTACCAATATTTCTAAAGTGCACTTGCTAGTTAACCAAATAGGTGGAACGAAATTTAACCGCGGACGTTCTCACCATGTTAGGGTGAATCAATCAATCAACCGTGGGCATTATGCTCTCAGTCTTAAGTTCTCATATGGGTAAACTAATAGTCAGCCACATCCAATCATCAGCTAACTGATCTATGAGTTTAGTAACTGCATTTTGGGTAGCTATCTATGTC